TGTGCCGAGCCTTGCCTCCCTGCTGTCGGTGTGGTGGCCGAAGACACGGCAGGGGATGTGGCTCGTGATTCCGCGGAACAGGTGGCATCACCAGCCATGTCCTCCAAGTGAAAACTCAACAACTATAGTCTGGGATTCCCAGACTTGAATTGTATTATAAATACGGAGAAATTTACAGGAACCCCGGTAAATGGGAGCTGTGGATTTTCCATGATTTTCCCGTAAACCAATCCAGCAAAGTTGATACATCTGATCCACAATAATAATAATATAATACAGCACGCCAAACATTGAACTTGATTGAACTGAACTTTGTCTGTCGTGTCACGCTTTCCCTGGGTTCAGTCCTCTGAAAGATCCAGGCATGGCAAACATGGGATAGAAAGTCTGAACCCGTAATGGGGCTTCGGTCGGCTTTGGTCGGCTTTGTGTGTTTGAAGCGCCATCAGACTTTAAAAGCTAATCTGGGAAACATGTTATGTACCCATGTATAGACCCGCGTGGCTTGTGGCATAACATTCATAACATGACAAACGCATACAAATGCATCGATCCTTCCTACTAGCCTGCTCTTAGGAGCTACTCTCATGTGGCTTGGGGTGCAGTTGCGTGCAAATTGAGGTCTCCAGATCTTCAAGCAAATATATCTTATGTATTTCCAACAATGGGGCCTGTGGCATGTGGCGTAGTCAGGCTTGTTGGCTCCGCAGTACAGAGACTAGCTTTGCGCACTTCTACTCCATCCACGTTTTTTCCTGTTCGTCAAAGAAGGTGGCCCATAAATTGACAAGGGTAACAATCAAGCATTTCAGATCATTTCAGGATATGGTTTACGTCTACGTCTTTGGCCCACGAATGCCCAGGACACATAAGAGTGGCGATGGGACTTCGACCTTTTTTCCCCTGCACCTTTGGAACTTGGAATGAGGTGGCGTAGCTCATGTGACGTGTGCAACCCAACTGGTATCTGAGCATTATAAAAGAAATAAACAAGGCATTTGTTGGATTCTGTATGATTCTGTACATACCTTGCAGAGGTGTCAGCTGGCTTTATCCCACAAGGCGGGTTTATATATATATATATATTACCTCTCTCTCTATATATATAGATACAGTATATATATATATATACATATTCAAGCACATCTCAATATTTTTTCTAAGGTGGGACAAGTAGTATAAGTATGTATAAGTACCTAGGACATCTTTTATCATATATGTTTATACAACATGTTTTAACACTGTGTCAAAAGAAGATCCTGAATCAAAGTCTAATGTCTTCTTGCATCTTCTTGCCCAATTGCCATCGCTTTGGCAGTTTGATGAGTTTGCTGCCATCTGCCATGGCACCTCAAATGGGAACCTTGTTCGCGGAAATCTGATGTCGAAGAGGCCGGCACGCCACATAGCACCTGCGGCTCGCGGTTGTGGCTGCACATCACCCTGTATGCCCAGCGCATCCCAGCGCAATTAAATGTGATTCCCGCCCATGCAGCCATACCCAGCCATACCCAGCCATACGACATGCCCCAGCCTCCCATGCAGTCTTGAGAGTCACTGGAACGCTTGCGATGGCACTCCCAGCGAAAACATCAGGCCGTGACAGCATCTGATGCAGGAAGGGTGTGGCCACCGGTCCATCCAAATCCAAGAGAACGTCGGCACCAGCCTCCCAGTGGAAGATGAGCAGCGGTGGGAAGTCTCGTGCCCCTGCCACTCAAAGGAGTTGTTTTTAAGCATCGGAAATCCGAGATGTCTCTGGAATCCATTGGAATCCATTGGAATCCAATGAAACAATCAATATGAAACAAACATGTGTTCATCAGATCGTCAGAAAAGTCATCGCTGCTCTTCATTGATTTGCAATCAAGCATCCCTCCATCTTGGCTGTTGCGTGGGACCTCAGCACCTGCAAATCGTGAAGCCAGATTTGCTAGAGCCATTATGGAACCTTTGAATGTGCCAATGGCACACCTACTGGCCGGCTCCAATCCTTTTAGGCAGAGCCTTATCCCCACAGATCTTGTGGGTCAAATCATGCAACTACAATGCATAATATTGCATAATAATATAATATGATACATACATATGATAATCAATCGTATCACATGTCACTTGATGATGTCACTCAGTGTCACCTGGACCATTAAATGCCTTCCTTTAAAGCACTTAGAGCACCCGCCTCCCGACTCTCTGCAGGAAAAAGTTTGCCCATAATCATCGCAAATGCATCACTCCCAAGCTGGCTGAGCAGGTCAGCACCGACACCCTCTGATTCACTTCGACGGATCCACAATGACCGACCTTTCCGAACTGGGGAACGATTGCAACAGCTCTCTCTGGGAGACTTTCTTCGTTTTCTTTTCACCACTACTGGTGCCACACAAACCAGCTGTCTCTCACAAAGAATCATCAGGATTAGGCTGCGACACGTGCGCTGCATATCCAGATATGATCACACTATATGTACTGTATGTGCAACAAGGCACTTTTAGTACACCCGGCAATTTGCAAAGTCAAGCTGCCGCAGTAAATTGCCCCTGAAAGCTTCAAAAGCCACGGCAAGCGCCAGGAAACCGCTATTAGTCTCGCCATTTGTCGCAAACATGGCAAAGACAGCAGTAGCAATGACATAACTACCGCCAAGCTCATGGCTACGTAGTGCAGCCATGGCCAAACCATTCGAAGTACCTTTCAGTCGGTATCAATGTTTAGTTTAAGTGTGCTCTGGCAAGATTTTTGGAGAAGGATTTTCTCCTTCACAATTCGAGGCGTCTGCATTGTACAGAAGGAGGGAAGAAGCCAACTGAAAATTATAAGTTTATATACAAGCGCCAAAAAAACTCTTGTAAAGCCAGAGATGCCTAACAAGTACCAAAAGGATCAAGAAGGGTTTGAAAGATTTGTTCTGCAAAACTGTAGCCGCTCAGGGGCTGAACATGTTTTTGCTGCGACACAGCAGGGGGCACATATCCACACTCGGTCACCGCAAAGAGCACCAGGGGCAAAGATACACGAGCGCCCCCAGCGCCCACTGTCAATGACAAATCTGCAGTAGAGAGACAACCCAAGAGTGCTGCCAAGGCAACATGGAGTGACCTGCCGCCACGGGATCTCTGTCTGTTTGCATATCTATGTCTATATGTATATGGAATATGGAAGTAGAGTAGCATATGTATTGGTATAAAGAGAATGAAATAATATAAAATACAGTAAGTGTACATAATATCGATATAACTATACGTGTGTATATATATAATGCTTTATATATGGCAATGTTGTTTCACCATATACCATATGCGAGTACTGCATCCAGCCCAATCCAAGTCCAACGGCCCAAGAGTTATCTGCATACGGACATCTACGTCTACGTACTAATCTTGCCTGCACGCATTGAACCCTTCACGTGTTCACAATGGACCACAGCCGCCAGACTTAGTGCAACAAAGTTGCTTTGCAACTCTTGCCCTTGGCGCTGGAATTTGGAAATTGAGACCAATTGAACACAGGCTCCCACCCAACGTTTGACTAGGAATGCTCCATTGGTTCACATGAACCTGCAACATAGAGTCAGTAGCAAACTACAATATTGGCTGGTGAAAAAGCACATCAACCAAGCATCCCAAGGGTGTGAAAAATCCATTGGACGAGGACGTCTATCACCAGCAGCGTCAAGATAAGCGACAAAATCGCTTCCTTGGAGAGAGAGACAGACTGGCAACCCAAATCAACAACTGCCCACATTGCTCTGCTCACTGTGTGCTCACTATTGCTCACTGTTCTAATAGAACCTATGGGAGTTCCAAGAGAAGGCTTAGCACTGCTGCACATCGGTACCGTCTCCGGAAGAACAGGCAATAGGAGAAACAGCAGCGGCCATGTCGAGACCGAAAAATCTCAGTCACTCTCACTAAGCGCAGCTCGTCGCGCTGATCACTGCCCCCTGCAAAACGACAATGGGGTCGTGGGGTTATGCGAGCCCCTCAATCTGCTCAGGTTTTTGGTCGGTCATCTCAACTGCGTCGTTCTTATCTAACTTTAAGATGGCTGTCTATTCATCCACATTGCTGACAGTAAAAATGTCTGATTTGGTGGCTGATGTTCATTAAACCTCTGAGGTGCCAAACATCTGCAACCCCAGACCTTCGCTGAAGTAGGAGAAGCCAGTGGCACTCACCCACCAGTAGCCATACCCATCCTAACACAGCAAGCCATGTAGAATATCAGATAACCTTGAGGCAGTGAAGAGCAAACTGCTTAAACTCTCAACTGCAAAATGCAGCAAATGAATGAGTAATTATTTGGTATAGGAGGCTTTGGACTGG